CACCCCCCCCTCTCAGCAAGTGTTTCGGCCTTAACTTCCTGACACTCAAAGCGGAGCCATTACAAGAGTGAGAAAAAAAGGAGGCGTTAAGTTTCACGATAACAATTTTGTTCATACGTGTTTATTGTCAATTTCTTGGTTCTGTTCAGGATTGCAAGTCACACCGAAGATCGAACATCTTTGATCACCCGGAATGGCAATGGCCGGCCCCGTCCCACAAGTAGGCTATATTGTTCTGGAAATTTTCCACACGCCAAGATAACTGTGCGCGCTAGAGTTACCCCCCTCAACGTTGTTAAGGACGCCATATTGGATGTTGTGTTTGTCAGTTTACATGACAAAGTTTGGTTGATAACTTGATCTATCGCCGAATTTTCATCATGGGAGAAGAAACCGCCGAGCTGTCTGAATCTAAATCTGTCGTACCAGAGGCGGAGAGCGATTTGTCAATCCCGGACACAAAAGAAACTGCTCAACAGAATTCATATGTCATCAGACCAAATTTTTCCCAAAAGTAAGTGAGAATCAAAATCAAACACTTTTCCGGCGATTTTGTAGTTTCGTTCGTTAAAGTCAAGCAGGGGGGTTTCAGGGGGGTTTGCCCTCCTGACCTAAAAAAAATATGGAGGTGGGGGGTTCAGGGGGGCATGCCCCCCCTGAATTTTATCCTAATTTGATGTCAGTTAGGTTGCATCCCTGCTCTTTGTGTAGCCTAATTCAAATAGTATTTGGTCTTCATGACTTCTGGATTTCTTCTCTGAATGTAAACAAATGGATCATGGACTTTAACGAACGGAACTACAAGATCACCACTTTTTCTACTTCTAGAATCTAGATCTGATCTAGAGCAAGACATTTAGTCTAGATCTACATCTCGATATAGCCTATGTACATCTCGACTCAACTTCTTTGCTTCAGCTTCAATGCTTGTGGCTTGTTGTGGCTGTCAACTGCTATTTATGCCAGTTTTTCTATGGCTTTGTTGTACCCAAGTATCAGTAGAGTTAAAAATAAAGCCGTCTTGGTAAGATTGTACTTTACCGGACCACCGGTCGGAACTACTTTCGCTATGGCGCCCCTGGTGCCTAGTGGCCCGCTATTCTTCGTTTCCGAGCTCCCCTACTCACTCTCCTACTCAGTTTTCTACGTCCTCACTCTTCAACTGCCAGCAATCGACTGATGTCTCTTACCGGGTTTTTCAGTCATCACGACCGTGCCACCGTGCCTT